AAGAAGCAGAAAAGCAACAAACCAAGTAATCCAATTAAAAAATGGGGAACAGAGCTAAACAGAGAATTCTCGAAAGAAGAACATCGAATGGCAGAGAAACACTTAAAGAAATGCTCAACCTCATTAGCCATTAGGGAAATGCAAATCAAAACGACCCTGAGATTTCACCTTACACCCATCAGAATGGCCAAGATGAAAAACTCAAGTGATAGCACATGCTGGAGAGGTTGTGGAGAAAAGGGAACCCTCCTCCATTGCTGGTGGGAATGTAAACTGGTTCAACCACTCTGGAAGTCAATCTGGCGCTTTCTCAGACAACTAGGAGTAGTGCTACCTCAAGACCCAGCTATACCACTCCTAGGTATATACCCAAAATTTGCTCAAGTACACAACAAGGACATTTGTTCAACCATGTTCGTAGCAGCTTTATTTGTAATAGCCAGAACTTGGAAACAACCCAGATGTCCATCAACGGAGGAATGGATACAGAAATTGTGGTATTTTTGCACAATGGAATACTACTCAGCAATCAAAAAGGAGGAAATCATGAAATTTGCAGGCAGGTGGTGGGATCTAGAAAAGATCATTCTGAGTGAAGTATCCCAGAAGGAGAAAGACAAACTTGGTATATACTTGCTTATATAGACCTACAAGATATGATAAACATAATGAAATCTACACACCTAAAGAAGATAATCAAGAAAGTGGACACAGGCGAAGGTGATTAATCCTCATTTAGAAAGACAAATGGGATGTGCATTGAACGTATAACAGGAGTCTACCACAAAAGGCATCTGAAAGACTCTACCTAGCAGTGTTTCAAAGCAGACACTAAGACTCATAACCAAACCATGGCAGAGTGCAGGGAATCATATGAAAGAAGGGAAGTTAGTATGATATGGAAAGGATAGGAGCTCTACAAGGACCAAATATATCCGGGCACAGGGTCTTTTCTGAGACTTGACACTCAACCAAGGACCATCTATGGATATAACCTAGAACTTCTGCTCGGATGTGGCCCGTGGTAGCTCAGTAACCAAGTAGTTTTCCAAAGTAAGGGGAACACGGACTATTTCTAACAGGATCTCAAGGGCAGGCTGTTTGACCCCCCCCCCCAGGGGAGGAGCAGTCTGTTAGGCCACAGAGGAGGACTTTGCAGCCAGCCCTGAAGATACCTGATAAAACAGGGTCAAATGAAAGGGGAGGAGGTCCTCCCCTATCAGTAGACTTGGAAAGGGGCAGGGAGGAGACCAGGGAGGGAGTGTGGGGTTGGGGAGGGAATGAGGGAGCGGGATACACCTGGGACACAGAGTTAACAAAATGTAAGTAAAAAGAAAAATAAAATTAAGAAAAAAAAATAAAATAAAAACAAATGTGCAAGAGGTTTGGGGTGATGATGTAATCATTTACAGATATCATTAAAACTGATGAAAAGACTTTTTGGTTCTTATTAGAATGACTTTGTTAATACTGAGATTCACCAGAGGAAAAAATGAATTACACCATTTTTAGCCAAATTTAAATCAACCTTTATTAAATATTATCCAGTCCCTGGAATAGTCCAGCTGAGATGGCCCTGAGGCATGTGTTACAATACTGTATAAAGACAAACTGATAGGCCACAGCACCTTCCCTTGAGGCTTTGCTATTTTCCAAGAACTACAACTCCTAGAGTTACAAGAAGTCACCTGGTCCTTGGGCAGATGGAGCTTACTGGTTAATTTTGGGTATTATATCCCCACACCTATGGAATTGTGTCCTGGGTCAATTCCTTAACTCTATGATGGGTACTAGTTTATTTTTGGATCTAATAACCATTATCTTAATGATGTTAAATACTCAGATAGGGATTATTATTTAATTGTTGTGTCTGTGATGTAAGACCCAAGTGTAATTTGCAAGAGCAGGAGGGCCAAAGGCCCTATGATGGCTGGCAGAGTTACTATCTAGAAGGAGCCTGGAAATGGATGGAGCACCAGTAATTTATTTCAGGTCCCCTTTTTGTAATGTTTTTTTTTTTAAGTGCAGGCAGATTATAATCCCAGTGGTTTTTATAGAAATAATTTCGTTAGAGCCATATAATACATTATTGTTCTGCTTAAAGTAGGACAAATGTCCTATCATATTGTAGAACTATTTTAGTTAACAAATTAAACCAGTTGACAAATCTGGGCCCACCTCTTTTGGTGGATCAGTTGGCTTATAGGTAACCATTTTGTCCCATACTCCAGGGAGTTTTCATTTGACAAAGCAGCTTATGGAGGTTTCACAGCAAATTTCCTCTTCTCCACAGCAACTGTATACCATTCTTTTCTCTTCGTTAAACACGCAGTTCAGTAACTCCGCCTGAGTAATCTCAAGCAGACCTAGTCTGGTCACTGAATGAAACAGGCCTTCTAACTAGCACTATTCCTTCAAGCTTAATACGTATGCAATTAAAATATGAATAGTAAACTTGATATAAAATATGAATAGTTAAACCTATCCATGAACCTTAGTAAGTTCAACTGAAAGTTTAATTTTTTAGATGAAAGTTGAATATGAAATTTCAAATGAAAGTTTAGTTCCTCTGAAAGCTAAAAAAAAAATTAGCAAGGATGATGTCTTCTCAGGAGTCTTGATGATGGGAATTCATGAGCTGGTGGTTCATGGCATGTGATGGTGATTTTTCTTTTCATGAGTATAAACTATGTAACAGTACGTAAAGGATTTGTCTCCAGATTGTGTAATTAGTCACTATAAATTGGAGTTTGCTAAAATACCATTATACTTCCAGTTTATAGTTGTTGAAACATGTTGGCCTAACCACTTACTTCCTCCTAAGTTAGTTTTAAGTTTGAGATATTTCCTTCAACGCAGACATTTATTTGGTTATGAAGCAAAAGCAGGTGGGTCTGAAAGTGACATAGTAAGTCATCTCTCCCTAGAGTACTGGTAACTAAGAGTTTGTGACACAAAACTTGTGCTTGTCAAGGAAGAGAATGACTAATGAAGTCTTTATGTAATCTACAAAATTCAACTCTCCACGTGTGCAGCCCTTCTTCCACTAATGGTGTGCTTTGAAAAGCAAAAGTTGTGTCCTTGCTTCAGTATAATTCATCAATATATTTCTGTGTGGATTCTGATTTTTTTAATACCGCAGAAAACATTGACTAACACAAGGTCATAAGGTTTGTAGCTTATGTTATGTTTTGTAAGTTTGAGGTTTTTACATTTTAGTGTATGCTGTATCTTTAATTTTGGAGTGCTGTGATACAAGGGTTTCATACAAATATTTAATTATCCATTCTCATGTTGCTTAAAAGACTGTCATTCTTTCCACCTATTTACCTTCACAATTTTATTTTTTTTAAATGTCTAAGTATGTGAGTTTAGTTTTTTTATTATTTTCTGGTGCTAAATATCTAGATTTATATGTTTGAAAACATGATGTCTAATTACAAATTGAGGAAAATGATAGAATTGACAAAAATAAGGTCCAAAGACAAGATTGAGGCAAATCTAGAAGTGTGCCTTCTGAACCGAACCTTGACTTATCTACTCTCCATCTATATAGTCAATTTAATCCCTAACGCAATATAATTTAGGGATAAAATAATTGTGAGAGTAATTAAGGCTGAAGAACATCATTACTGTGAGATCCTTAACCCAACAGGGTCCTAGTCAGTAAAAGAGACACTAGGGAGTTCTCCACATGCACACAAAATTAAAGCCAGGTGAGAATATGGCCAAAATTAGAAGTCTGACATCTGCCAATTGGAGAGCCCGCAGGCCAACCCTGATGGCAACTTCATCTTGGACTTCTAGATTACAGAAATTTGCAAATATAGATTTCTGTCGCATAATCTTCCCAGTCTGTGGGATTTTGTTGGATCAGCCCAAGCAAAGCAATACAGTGGGAGTTCAGATACTTTGAAGAAGTGACAACAAGGAAAACTGAGTCCCTATTGAGTGTGTTTGTGGACCCTTAGTTCCACTAATCTCAGATCATATGCTGTCCTGCGCTATTCAATCTGACCACACAAGTACTCTAGCTTCCTCCTTCAATATTCCCACCCAGAAACTATGGCCACCTTGCTCAAACACTCTTGACTCTCAAGAAAAAATTGCAGCCACTTTTAAGGAGTCCATACTGGTTCCTCTGAAACCTTGCAGTTAAGAAAACTGAGGTGCCATCACAGTTGTTTTGCCGTTTTATTATTATTATTATTATTATTATTATTATTATTGTTATTGCAAGTTCAGACACAATGCAATAAATATTCTCCTGCTTTTTTAATGAGGAAGGTATTGCATTTCTATTTTGCACTGGACCCCATAATCTATGCAGTAGTACCTGGAGTCTTGTTTGTAACTAGCCCCGAGTTGGGGGGTTTGAAAAAGCAAGTTTATTTCACTCTGAGTTTTTTTATGAATATCGGATTTTAGGATTAAATCATGTAAAGAATTTGGCCCGGGGCTTCAATTATTGTAATGGTCAGTACTTGGATGTATAACTAATAGCTGATTTAATTCAGACTTCTTTATACTTCTTATGTCTACAGATCCAGTTTTCCAAAACACTTCTTACAGGCAGTAGCAAATGCTCCTCTTTGACTTCAAATATCCGGTTTACCAAAACTCAACATTCCGGATATTCACTCCTATCACAGTATGTAACAAGCTTTGAAGCTCTTATAAAGAGCAAAAATCTTCACAAGCGCTAGATTTTGGAAATGAGCAAAATCTGCGACTCAAGTACTTGATCTGTTCAGGAAAATGTTCGCCTCTCCTTAGGCCCTTCCAACTCTAACCCACCACAGTGGAACAGTCCTAGACAAAAATTGTTCTCCTGCTAACGCCAGCTAAAGCAACGCCCACTGGAGAGCTCCCTGGCCTGGTTTCCAAGGAAACGCGCCCGCCGGGCCCGTAGCCCACGAGCCGGAAGTCGCCGTTCTCACTTCCGGCATTGCCGGAAGAGACCTACTCTTATTTAATGCACTGGATGGTGAGGTTTGGGCGGAAGAGGCTGCCGTCGGGGGGCGTGTCCGCGCAGCCGCAGTGTAACTACGTGCGTTCACGTGCCGGAGATGGCGGCCGAGCCTCTTCCTCCGTCGGCGATGGCTCAGCCGGGAATCCTGAACCTCAATAACGAGGCGAGTGCGAGGGCGGCGGGTGGGGTGTGGGGCTGGGGCTCCGGGAAGGCGGAGCGGGGCCGCCGAGGACCGTTCGCGGTCGGGTTCCCGTCTGCGCGACGGTTGGGAGGTAGCTCAGTGACCGTCCCTTTTAATTGCTCTGCAAAAGGAAGCTCTCGACCATGCCTGTCTTTCAGGGTGGTGAGGTTTACATGTTTTGAGGTTTCTGCTAGTGCCTGGCCCCGGCTAGCTCTCAGTAAGCCTGGTTTCACGCTTTTACCTTCACCACCACCTCCACTGTAGTGCGTTGGTGTCGCCAGGCCGCCTTGAGTTTTCAGGACATGCTTCTGCCAACTGTTTTCCGGCATCCTAAAAAGTAAGCTTTGAAGAGCAGTGATCGAAAGGACGTATTACAGCTGCGTGCCCTGAAAGAGTTTCTTGCCCTGCATGCCATTCATATGCAGGTCGCTGTTTTGGTTCCAGAGCTGTGTGTGATGTTCTTTATGGGTTTTTTTTTTTTTTTTTTTTTCACCCTTCCAAGAAATGGGGCAGTTTTTGAAGGAGGCAGAGTCAGATGTGAGATGTAGCCGGTCATCTTCTTTGAGGATACAGGGATTGCAAATGGTAATTCTCTTAAGGTATTGATTTGAAGGCCTTATAAGCAGAGAAAGGTTGGTGGTAGTAAACTAAGTAATAAAGGGCCAGAAAACTGATGAGAATTAAAAGATATGCTACAGTCTTACTGCCAGGTTGAGTCTTCATTCAGTAGGCAGTGGGATACAAGGTATCAAAGAGGGAGAAACAAAATATTTAGAATCAACTGAGTTTTACTCGTTTAAACTTGTGTTTTGTGTAAGAAAACTTTTGTTTTGTTTTTTTAAATTAGGTTCTGTGTGAAAGATCTTAAGTTAACTGTCCGTGGAAATTCTCAGAAAGGGATAGTTGCATCGAGGTCCAGTTTTGATTTAATGGTCATCAGGTCATAAGGCCCCTATCCACTTAACTAACTTGCAGGCTTTTTCAAAATAGCTAATTATGACCTTTAGGAAGCATTCACTAATTAACTAGAATGCTTCCCATGCTGTGAACACCTGTTTCTGTCATGAGTATATCTGAGGGTATCTCCTGGAGCATATATGCTTTGCAAATGTTTACTAGGTGATCAGAAATCATACATATCCCAAACTTAAATTTAATATGTCCTCATAGATAGAGGATAAAGAGGCCCAAACATAGTGGAAATGTTCATGGAAGTGTTTCAATGAGGAAAAGAGTAAAAATATAAATACAATCATGAATCACTTAATGGTAACAAGTTTTAAGAAATGTGGCATTATGTGATTTTTGTCCTTGGAAACACAACTGATATGGCTATCATATCACTATCATTTGGTCATACGTTATTATGAGACCACTATCTTGTGTATGTCCCTTCTAAATTTGTGTTGCACGTGACTATGTCGACTGTTCTTTGGTATGCCAAAGAAAGGAAGAAAAATGACCACCTAGAAAAAACTCATCAAAATGACATTTTAACCAAGAAACTTGGCAAAAGAAATGCATTAGCATCTTACTCAAAAAGGAAGCATATCTGAAAAAGTTCAAATTCTCACAATTTCTCATCTGTTCTACTTTCCTGTCACTGCTGAGTTAGTAGTCCAGATTTTATCCCCATAGAAAGCTCTTCTCTCTTCCTAGCTACTTAAATTGATGCTTCTTGACCCTTAATTTGATCATCTTAATTGCTATTGAGCTCTTTCTTCAGCACGGATTTAATAAGGCCATTTCCTTGTTCAAAACCCACTGGCTTGCTTTTGGATAAAATTGAGCAACACACGGGCAGCCTGTCCTGTTCTGTTTTATCCTGTCCCTGTAGATCCATGTACTGCAGCTGTACTAGCCACACCATAGCTTCTTCTTGCATACTATTCCTGCATCTGTTATTTATACTTACACACTTTCTTAAAACAACCATTGCCAGCTTTTATCCCTTGTATAAGTTCTGGAAGCACCACCTAAGTCTCCTTGTCAGTATTTGTAATCATAACATTAACATGAGAATGTGTGTGAAAGAGATTTCATATCCCTTCTACCTGTCTATAAACTTTTGCATCCCCTTTTTAAACATGTATTTGTTTATCTTGTATAGAAATGAGAGAGTAGCACATATCTGCCACAGTTCTGTGAAACTCAGAGGATAGCTCCTGGGAGTCAGTTTTCGCCTTCCACCTTGTGGGTTATGGGGATGGATCTCAGTTGTCAGGCTTGGATCCTCTATCTTAAAGTAGCTCTTACTTTCGTTCAAGGAATATTCCGATGTTCTGTATTTGTCTGATGTGTGTGTGTACGTGTGTGCTGTGGTGGTAGTGACACTGAGGTAAAGAGTGATTGCTTTATTGACATGCATTATTAAATTTGCAACGATTTGCGAACCTCTGGCTTTGTCTTTGAGATAATCATAGCTGTGATTTGATTAATAACCCGTTTTATAATTTTTTTTTAAAGATATATGGTGGTCAGTGGTGGAGTGCTTGCCCAGCATACATAAGGCCCTGGTTCAGTTCCCAGTACTGCCAAAATAAATGAATAAAGTCTAGTATTGTATTAATACATTTTATTTAATTTAAATGAATTTATATTATATTTGGTTTACATAATGTCTTGTGAAAAGTGAAGCCGATCTATAGTTGTACTCATTTGGCTATAACTTCAATGTGTCCTGGCTTTGATAACTATGTTCCTATAAAATAGATTTCCAAGAATAGAAATCAATTTATAAAACATATTCTAACGCCTCATTCTTAAACTACACTTTACGTTATTTTAGGTCTATTTATTTTGTGGATGTATGAGTATTTTGCCTGTGTGTGTGCATGTGCACCACATGTGTGCCTGGTGCCCGGTGTTCAGAAGAGGGCATCAGAGCTAACATCCTGGCCAAGAACTCAACCCAGGTCTTCTGCAGAAGTAACAAGTATTCTCATCTGCATCTTTCCAACCCCCTTGAAATACATATATTATTATGAAGTATATTAAATTTTGCATTTACTTTATCAGTTCATAGCAATTTGGAGAGAGTATTCTGTTGGCTTGCTGTAAGCACTTCCTAATCTCTAGAGCAGGACCTTGACTAGAAGCAATATATAAGTGTATGTTGAGAAGGTGAAAGTATGCCTTCCAAAAAGTTGTGTTAAATACTGCTGAACTGAGAGGGGAGAAATGTCATAAATGTTGACAGGTTTTCATCCCATCTCATTAGAACTAAAGAAGCAGGGATACACAGTTGAAGGTATCTGTACTATGGCATTCAGTAAGTAAAGAATTTATAGAATGACAACTGGATTAATTCTGTTTTCATCTCTTTCCTTGGCAGAAGGTAAATATGATTAGAGTTGGAGAGTATGGCACTCTGGTAGAACTTTATAGAAAAACATGATGTAACTTTGCAATTTAATAGAAAATAGTAAATCCATTAGAAAAAAAAAATTAAGCCAGTACTGTAATATGAGCTCTATCTGTAGTTTCGACTTTTGTTGTTTTGATCATCTGAGATAACAGAAGCAATTTGTAAGTGTTGAGTTGTATGTTAAGAGCTGTCCTACCCACAGTGTAAGGTACTCTTTAGTCTAGGTTACCTGCATTGTACATGCTACCACCCATTGGTCCCTAAGCTCTTGATCTTCAACTGGCTGTCAAGGTGTTACAGGACAAGTAATCCATACTTAATAATGGCCATGAAATAGAAATTTTCACTATGTTATGTTGCTGTTTTATTTTAGTGCTTTTAAGGTTTTGTCTACTTTATAAGTAAAAAAATACAAAATTTTCTCAGGTATATGTAGGGAAAAACTTGTACTTGCAGGATTTTGAACTGCCTGTGGTTTCAGGCATCCACTTTGGATATAAGAAAATACTCCCTTGAAGAGGGAACTGTTATAAAAGTGGAAAGTATAGTGCCTGAGAACAGATTTATTTCCTTCTATGTATTGTGAAGGATAAGAATATCAAAAAAAAAAAAAACATGTTTGCGTGTACATATGAGCATGTAAACTTTTATATCATAGTTGAATGGTGCCTTTGAAATTTTTTGGAGTAATAAATGTGCTCATCGTTAAGAGGGCAACCAGCTGGTTTGCTTGTTAACTGTTCTGATGGGTTTTGCTAGGTGGCAGCATAAGCCTGGTAGCCGTTAAGTTGCAGGCAGTCACTTGCCATTTTAGATTTGGTTTTTCTGTTTTGTTTTGTTCTGTTTAGAAATGATTGTTGACCAAAAAATAATAATTCAACAGTGTAAATTTAACAATAAGTTAAAATCTAAATGACCAACCAAGAATTTCCTTGTAAAGGCATAATCATGTTTGTAACTGAAATACTTGAAACACATGGAAAAGTGATAGAACATAGGTCCTTGAAGCCTTTTATTTAAGAGTTCTCCATATTTTGCAATCAGAGATAATATTACTCTTGATATATGCTTTTCTCACCTATATGTCTCATTATTTTGCACTTCTATACCTAGTATATAGTATTGGTGTGTGTTTTAAACTTAACATGAGATACTGTATTACAGAACTGTGTATGTCCTTTCTGTGTACTCTTCATGCATGTCTTAGGAAGCATGTTCTAATGAGTGGGTCATGGAGAGTATTGTGTGTGATTCTTTGTTGTTGCAAGTATGTCTTCTAGGTAGACTCTGAAGTAGGAATTTTATTAAAGATTGCCAACATTTCGTCTGCCAAATCTTTTCTCTCCCACCTTCACCATCATGTCTTAGGGAGAAGACTGGCACTACATGAGAAGAAGCCACTGTTTCTGGAATGGAGAGAAGCAGAGCATCTACCCCACCTCCACTGTGTGTGTGTGTGTGTGTGTGTGTGTGTGTGTGTGTGTGTGTGTGTG